CTGTTCCCTCACAGAGAGAGTGTCTGTGTCTGGATGGGAACGTGCCATGGGGACCTGTGTCATTCACCTGCCTTTCAGAGTTTGGGAATGCTGATCAGTTGTTTCTGTTTCTTCCCCTTCTTTAGAATCCTCTACATCCCTACAGATGAGGAAACTGAGGCTCCAAGAGACCAACTAGCTTAGGTAAGATAATAGCTAAGGGCTGGAGGCAGTGCTGGTACCAGGAGCAGGGCTGATTTCATGGATGTTCTGCCTGTGTAGTCACAGAGGACCTTGTTGCTCAGAAGGGTCCTACATTTGGTTTAATGCTCCGTTGTCACCATCTTGAAATTCTTAATGATTTTTTTAACAAGGAGTTTATGTTTTTACTTTGCACTGAGCTCCATGGATGATGCAGCCAGTTTTGCCCAGGAGTGACTCATTCTGAGACATGAGAGAGAGAGGCCTGTGGTCAGGAGCATGAGATTTGGATGCAAATAGACTTGTGAAAGAATCATGGTTCTTCCAGTTGGGGCCCAACCACTTCACCTCTCTAAGCCTCAGTTTCTTAATCTGTGAAACGGGGCTAGTTTTGATACTTGCATCATAGGGTTGCTGTGTGGATTAAATAAAGCAATGTGGGTAAAGCATTCAGAATCATACCTGCACAGGTGAGTGTTTAACGTGTTGGCCACTGTGGTTGATCTGGATCTCCTATGACTAAGATTTTTTTTTACAGCACATCCCGCCTCAGTATTTGTACCTTGTGGCTAATGAATAGCTGTCTTGGGGAGAAGCGTTATGGAAGATTAATGGAGCTTGTCTGGTGATGGAATGGGTGGGTGGATAAACTGGGAAGAACCAAGAGTACCAGTTTGTGGTCCCTGCTCTGATCACAGCTCGATATCACCGAGGTGAGTCTCTGGGCACCCCGCTCCAGGACCACAGCCCAGCGAGGCTGGTGGCCACAGAGATCCATGTTGTCTACTGACTGGCTGCCTCCTCTGCCTCTGTTCCCTCACAGAGAGAGTGTCTGTGTCTGGATGGGAACATGCCATGGGGACCTGTGTCATTCACCTGCCTTTCAGAGTTTGGGAATGCTGATCAGTTGTTTCTGTTTCTTCCCCTTCTTTAGGACCATGTAGAAAATTCTCATCTCCCTATAATTTTCTAGGCGCTGTCCCCCGGGATTTTTTCTTTCTAGAAATGTCTTCCCCAACATCTTAGCCATACATAGTAATGGAACATTTTAGCTATAAGGAGTAATGGATTCCTAAAGTAATAGACTTTAATTCAACTATTTTAAAGGCAGACAAATACTCCACTCCATAACATTAGATTCCACATTCTTCTCAAGTGCACATGCAACATCCTCCAGAATCAACCATATGTTAGGCCATCAAACAAATCCCAATAAATGTAAAAGGATGGAAATCATGCAGAGTATCTTCTTCAACCACAAGGGAATGAAATTAGAAATCAATAACAAAAGGAAATCTGGAAAATTCGTAAATATTTATAAATGAAATGGCATACTCTTTTTTACATTTTAAAAATTGTAAATATGCTTAATAAAAAATTTCCCATTTTAACCATTTTAAGTGTATAGTTCAATGGTATTAAGTACATTCATATTGTTGTACAACCATCACCGCTATACATCTTCAGAACGTTTTTATCATCCCAAACTGAAAATCAGTACCTATTAAAAATAACTCCCCACTCCTCTTTTTCCCAGACCTCAATAACCACCATTCTACTTTCTGTCTCTATGATTGACGTTTTAGTTACTTTAGTGACTTTAGTTACTCAATGTAAATGGAATCATTCAGTATTTGTCCTTTTGTTTGGCTTATTTCACATAGCATAAGGTCTCAGGATTCCTATATGCTGTACTATACATCAGAATTTCCTCCTTTTATAAGGCTGAATTATGTTCCATTGTATGTATAGATCACATTTTGTTTATCCATTTATTCATTAATGGACATTTGCATTGTTTCCACCTTTCGGCTATTGTGCAATAACAATTGGCTATTGGCTACAATTGGCTATTGACTATAATGCTGCAATTAATATAGTTGTAGAAATATCTGTTCAAGTCCCTGTTTTCAGTTATCTGGGGTATATGGCAGAGGTAGAATTGCTGGATCATATGTAATTCTATGTTTAATTTTTTTGAAGAACTGTCATGTTGCTTTCCACTGTGTCTGAACCATTTTACATTCCTACCAGCAATGCACAAGGGTTACAATTTCTTGACATCTTGACCAACATTTGTTATTTTCTGTTGTTGTTTTTTAAATAATGACTATTCTAATGGGTTTGAGGTAGTATCTCATTATGGTTTTCATTTGCATTTTCCCAGTTATTAGAGATGTTGAGCATCTTTTCATGTGCTTATTGGATGTTTGTATATATGTTTTTAGAGAAATGTCTGTTTAAGACCCTTGCCCATTTTTTAATTGAATTGTTTTTTGTTGTTGGGTTTTAAGAGTTCCATATATATATATATGGAACTATATATAGTATAGTAATTTCTACTATATATATGTAGTAGAAATTAATCCCTTATGAGATATTATGAGATATATGACTTGCGAATATTTTCTCCCATTCTGTGGGTTGCCTTCTTACTCTGTTGATAATGCACCAAAGTTGCACAGTAGTTTTTAATTTTGATGAAATATAATTCATCCACTTTTATTGTTGATTGTGCTTTTGGTGTCATATCTAAGAATCCACGGCGAAATTCAAGGGTGTGGAAATTAACCACTATATTTTCATATAAAGGTTTACAGTTTTAGTTTTAAATATAGGTCTTTGATCCATTTTGAGTTAGTTTTTCTATATAGTATGAGGGAAGAATCTACCTTTATTCTTTTGCATGTGTTATATACTAGGGTGGCTATAATTTTTTTAAAAAAGAAAAGGAATAAGAACAAGTGTGAAGGATATAGAGAAACCAAAACTCTCATACGCGGCTGTTGGAAACATAAAACAGTGCAGCCACTGTGGAAAAATGTCGTGGCTATTCCTCAAAAAGTTAAACATAGTTTCCATATAACCTAGCAAATCCAGTCCTAGGGGTATACTCAAGATAACTGAAAACTGATATTCAAACAAAAATTGTATGTGAATGTTCATAGCACCCTTGTTCATTATAGGCCAAAATGGTAACAACCCAAGTGTTCATCAATTGATGAATCAATAAACAAAATTCAGTATATACGTACAATGGCTTATCAGTTTGCCATGAAAAGAAATGAAATACGAATGCATGCTACAATACAGATGAGCCTTGTAAACATTATGCTAAGTGAAAGAAGTCAGGTACAAAGGGCCACATGTTGTATGATCCCACTTATACGAAATGTTCAGATTAGGCAAATCCATAGAGACAGAAAGTAGAATTGTGTTTTCCAGAGGCTGAGAAGTGGGGCTCAGGGGGAGTGACTGCTAAATGGGTCTGAGGTTTCTGTTTGGGGTGATGAAAATGTTCTGGACCTAAATAGTGGTGATAGTTTCACAACATCTTAAATGTACTAAAAACCACTGAATTATATACTTTCAAATAGTTAAAGTGGCAGATTTCACTTATGTACATTTACCTTAAAAATATTGTTAGGAAAATGAGAAGGCAGACCACAGACTGGGAGAAAATATTCATAATACAATTATTTGACAAAATCATCATATCCAGATAGAAGAACCCTTACAGTTCAGTAATGAAAAGAAAGTATTTTCCAAGAATGGGTAAAAGACTTGAACCTCCAGAGAAAGGCCCAACAAGGTAGATCTTGGTTGAATATGGAGGACTTTTTTTGAGAAGCAGAACTACTGCCTTCTCAGACGTGAGCTCTTCATCACCAGGGATATAAGCTCTGCTGTAACAGGAAATTCCAGCCTCAGATGAGGAAGGGGGAAGTGAGGCTGGCTTAGGTAGCCTCTTGTCTCTGAGCTGTCCCACCCCTTGGTCTATACATTGATAGATGGGGACACAGAGCCAGCCCCCTGCTCCACGCTGCCTGCATGCCTGACCTTCCCTGACCTTTGTTCAGATGCTGGTGCACCTGTCTACTTCTATGAGTTTCGGCACCGGCCCCAGTGCTTTGAAGACACGAAGCCAGCTTTTGTCAAAGCCGACCACGCTGATGAAGTCCGCTTTGTGTTCGGTGGTGCCTTCCTGAAGGGTGACATTGTTATGTTCGGTAAGGGACTGGCCACTCCCCACAGTTCACATGAAGCCCCCTGCTTACCCCACCACTATGCAAGAGCCCGGAGGACTTCAGGGTTGGCATTTAATCACCTCTGTGGTTTACAGGCGGATGCAACCTTTCTCTGGAAAATGCCCTCACTTCCATTTTTAGAAGCCAAGATGAAAAAGCACCGTGAAAGTTTCTTGATGAGGGCTTCTCTTTGTACTGAAACCTACAGGTGTGGCCACTTAGGAACACTCAAGCAATCTAAATAATTTAAAATAGATATATATTAGAACCATTTTCTTCCTTTTCTTTGACCACGGGTCTTACCCTCCCTCCCCTTCCCAGAAATCCCATGAGGCCACAATCTGAGGCTTTAAGAGGCAAGGATCATGTTTTTCATAATTCCAGCTCCAAGTGGTCTGCACCCAGATAAGCTCATGTAAAGGCTTGTGAACTGTTACTTGTGATGTTAGCTCGTTTATTCTTAAATTTATGACATATTTGGTGCCTAAAATAAACCAATCAGATGAGGTTGTCAATCGAAAAAATTTGCAGGGAAAAATACACACAGGAGCTATCACTAAACTATTTGGTTGGAAACATTACACAATGCAGGCTCTTAACTTACTCACATTGGCCTCCTGACAAAGAGGACGGAACATTCCATATAGAGTGTGTTTGTGCACTGTGGTTTATTCATTATTTCAGTGTTTC